TTGTCGACAGTTTTATCGATAGATCGTGAAAGAAGGCAAATATTTGCCAAAAATATCTAAATTGTGAATGTTACGACGTTCTAATTATTACTAATTGCGTTATTGCCTTCTTAATTGTTATTTTTACATTTGCTACTTCTTCTCAATTAAGAGGCTCTTGTCGGTGGAGTAATCTCCGATCATCTCTGTTTAGCGCTTTACATTTGCTACTAGTATCCAATTAAATTTTTATTCATATACATTTTAATAATGAGAAGCCGTTTAAGTAGCAGTAGATCTCCTTGTGAAAGAGTTCGTCCAGGAAAGTACTGCCACCTTACCTATTTCTGCCGCCAAGCAGTAATGTTAGCATTACTGCGTTCCGGTTTTCGAAGGGTAAGGGTGCTGGTGAAATTACAGGCACATGGGACTTGTCAACTTATGTCTCAGGGTGACGTGCGCAGTGGCAGTGCCCTTCAGATCTTTGCGATTTAAAGCTCTGAGTGGCATTGCAACTGTAATGGACAGCTGACTACCAGGCGCACCACTTGTTGGTCCCATCACTTAAAATTATAAAAAAAATAAAAAGGCCGTTCTGCTTATCAATACTGAATTAAAATGAAAAAATATGTCTCCTCTTTGTACTTTTAAAAGACATAGGTCTAACTGTAGTGTATGTATATATGACCGTACAAAAAATGACAATTCAAATGAACCTATGCCTTGTAGTTGTACGAATAATGGGCCGATGGTGATTCAAATGAAACAAGTTAGGTTATTTATTGTACATATAAGCGGGTAACGATGCTATCTCTTTCATCGCCATCCCACCTTTTTATCTCCGTTTTCTCTGGTTCCTGGCCACTTAGTTTGGAAATTTTGAATCATTCTCTTATTCTATTCCTTGGTCATTCTTACTTTGCTTCGTTCTGTCGTCACTCCCATCTAAATTCTCGAAGAGAAGGGACGTGTCCGTTGTAAAAAAACCGCAATCATGTGAATCTTATAAAACACTGACTTTATAAAGCCTCAATATTTGTGCGAATACAGGACCTTAAGTGATAAGGTTACCTTGTTACTTTTGATCTGTAGGGGTTGTTTATATATTATTTTACCTGTTTTTATATCATTGTTTGTTGTTATAGGCTTTTTCTTACTTTGTTCATTCTAGCTTCTTGTAATATTAAAGTATGTGAACCGAGTTTTTTCTTTAATTTCGCCAAGGCTAGGCTACAAGCGTAACCAACATTCAGTCGACATCGATTGAATATTATTTGACTGCAATCACTAGATTCTTTGAAGCGAGCATTGCGCAATATACTGTCATTATACTCCATCTTCAAAAAAAGACAGACTATGAAATATAATTCTTTTTGTAACTGAACATTCCCAGTATAAAAACAACAATGGTAATCCTACCTTTAAAAACACTCTCGTACGAAAATAACGGAGTCTTTGTGAACCGATACATCTCGTGCTCAATAGATCAGTGCAAAGGGATACAGTAATTCAATATTAACACAACGCGGCAATCATTTTACATACCTACAACATCGTTTTTACGATCACCCTGGCATTTATGTCAGTGACATAGGGCATAGTGGCATCGTTACGTACGAGAGAGCCGCGAAAGCTCATACCATACCACAGTGCCGCTACTGACATTTTGTTTATAGATTGTACCAATAGGACATTATTGCAAAGGCCGGGAAGTAAGGAATTGCTATCCGAGTATGAGTTACCAGGCCGACCCCAGCGAGTCAAGCAATTCCTATTTCCACCTAAACTTATATATAATATATATATACTATATAGTGATTTTCTCAAACAATGCGAAGAAATAATAGAAGACTAAAGAGAAAAAGATGTACAAAAAATGTTAATTAAAATTAAAAGTAATATTTGACATAGTTTTTCTAATATTAGTGTGCTGGACTTCTAATGACGCGATTTATTGTGTATCCATAAATATTTATTTTCATTATCGCTCCTCTCACTGGAAATTGTTTTCGCGACGAACATAAAAAAAAGACAGAAAAGAACACCAAAGCATTTTAGTTTATTTTACAGCCTTTTTTTTTAAAAAGTAATAAGCGGTACAGGTACTTTTAATTCTCGCAATTACGAACACTTGGCAATTAGCTGTATGAGTTTTACTTTTGCCTTTTTATGTAGTTCATTATTATTATTTGGTAGATTTAAAAGTTTATAGAAGTGGGCATTAATGCATTTTCATACTTTGCAGGCCTTGGCCGGAAAGTAATCGTATGGTCTTTAAATAACAAACTTTCCGTGTTCGTTTTTTGAAAGTAATGCAAACATTTGAAAAAATTAAAATTTCTTAAAAAAAATCATATTGTTTGTGTAATGTACACGTTTTCGGATGTCTAGTGACAAAAAAGCAGCATAGTTGATTCTTTCTTCTATCATAATCAACTAATAAAAGAACACTAATCTACTTATTGTCAACCAGTCAGTCATTAACAAGTCTAAGTAATAACGGCCATATCTGTTTGCATTTAGCGAGTTAACACACTTATTAACGCCAAATTGGTTAGAGCAGGTCAGAAAAATCTTTATACCGAAATAACAAGAAGTGATCTCGCTCGCGAAAAAGCGCTCTTATTACGAGTCTTTAAAGTTTTTGTCTTTTTTGTGTTGTTTGACACCACATTTGTCGACACGGAATCGCATTAAGAAGATCAGAAAAACTTTTATATCCATTTTTTCTTAATAATTCACTCACTGCTGAGGATCGTGACTTCAGTGCATCTTGCCAATCATCTGTCTACTTCGGTTGCTCAGTTGCCTGGTGGAGTGCGGCGCTGGGAGGTATCTTCAGTTGTTCGGAGATCTAATCTGACCATATCGTTTGGGATTCCCGCCTCTAGGTCACTTTCCTCCCACCTTCCCTGTTATCAGCATCTCTGCAACGTGACCAAAATGGAGTATCACACGCTGCATGCAGATTGAAGACAGACGCTGTGCATTCTCTATCTTTAGGTCCCCAAGTACAAAGACATTGGTGCGGCGGTCTGTCCAAAATATTCTAAACATTCGACGCCAGCACCACAAAGGCGTCCATTCTCAGACCGTTGACGGCTTTAAGTGTCCATGACCTCTAGAAGTATTTTAGTTCTGTGTCTGATATTCCTGTCTCTCCATACCTTGCTCAGTTGAGTCATTGCTGTCTTTGCCATCCCTGTTCACTTTTGTGTTTCTGGTTACCAGCTACCGCCATTGGTTATCAAAGAACCCAGGTTTTGAAACTGGTCCACGTTCTCGTATTCTTCTAAGAGGCTAGTACATTGAATTGTAGACACATGCGAAATTTTCTGACCGGCTCAAGATTCCTGCATTAATAAATGTGGTAACTCCCTTAGGCGCTTTGCACTTTAGTGTGATGGAAATACCATGAATGCCAAAGTATATATACTTATATACGTACGCTTAGGGGAGAAGGTACGCATACCGAGGGCGCATGACGTAAAATGAACTATATTATATAAGAACGTTTATACAAAATGTAGGCCACGGTCACGAAAGTCTCCAAGGAGTATAGGAACAAACAATTTTCAGGTTCGCTGAGTTTACTTTCACACAGAACCTTCTGGACTTGAAATAGCTTTGTAGAATAGACAAATTAGAGTAAGTTTGTGTTACTAAAGTTTTTATTTAAGAATAATAAAAGATATTAAAGTTTATTGAATATCACGAAGTTTTACTACCATGACGTCCAATTTTATCTAAAAAATTAATAGACTGTCTGGGAAACCTAAGAGCAGCTACCTTGCCCAACGCATTGGCATACTCGTAGCTATTCAAAGGGGGAACGCTGCCAGTATCTTGGGCACCTTGCCGCGGGGACCCAATTTTATTCATATAATTGAAAAATTCTAGTTTTACTTTCTATTATTTAAGCTTTTATTGTACAGTCGAGAGCACGTCAAGCATGAAACTTTGTATTTTGGACCGTTCGTATCATAAGCGGCATAAATTTGGATTTAAGTCTTAAGTGTGAAGCTTGACGTGCTCTTGACCCTGTACCAGTCCAGTATATTATCACAATAATAAACCTACTTAAATTATTGCTTCGATCCGGCTGGACTCACATCCTCTCCCAAACCTTAAGAATTTCTATAAAGAATTTACGTGCTTTGTCGCAGGTCTTTGTTTTTAACGACTTTTTTGCCGTAGCCCTATCTATGAGAAGTCTATGAAAGCGCTGTTTTACATCGGAACGAAGGAATTTCTCTTAGTGATCAATCTTTGCATTAATATTAATAATAGAAGATACTTATAAAAACAATTATTATTATTTTTTATTTTTTTTTGGAAGATATACAGCGATTTTTTAACAATTAATCAATGTGTTAAGTAACAGGTGTAAATGCTAATTACAAATCTCCACTAGTAGCATAAAAATCATATTAAGTTTAATAATATTATTTTACACATTGAGAACAGGGACACTTGCCAATACAGGGAAAAAATATTGTAAAATGTTGAACCCTATATAGCCCTACCAACAACACAATTACAAATGTTCCAACAGCACTGTGCTTTAGCTTTAATATTTTTTATTAAAAAAAAAGGAACAGATTTCAAACTTTACAATCGGTTACCGGAAAGTACGCAAGATCGAATTCGTCACCTAGTTTGCCACCGCTAATGTGAAATATTTTTTTCAAATGGGGCCAATACTGCGTTACTCCCATGCCAACAAAAAAAGAATCATCAAAATCGATACACACTTTCGTAACATACACAAAAAATACAGTCCAATTGAGGACCTTGTCCTTTTCATTTAACCAAAATATCTAGTCTGCATTATCAATGTAATAATACTTCTAAGTAATATTTGTAATACGCAAATCAGGAAAGACGTACCAAACATCGGATACTTTTTGAACATTCGAGAAAAAAAACACTAATATAATAATTAAAAATGTATATTTATGTATAATAAATATATATATAATTAGCTAGAAAAAGGATTCGAAATTAAAAAAAAGAGAACATCTAACAAAATTTTAACGAACTTTTATTAAATTTACAAATTATTGTTTTCTTAAGCCTAAAGGAACGAAGTATCTTTTAGTACAAGATGTCTTACCGTGCTTACGCAATTGCTCACAACACTTTATCAAATCAAATCACATAAGAATCAAAATAGTAACAAGTAACAAAATACATAAGAAAATCGTTAACAAATGGCTCACGTCACCGATGATATCCGAGCGGGCGCCGACAGGTGAATGCCTCGCTCTGGACCCGTTCTGCTTTTATATCGTGGTGAAGGACGGTGCACAGCCGAGAGGGGTGTACAGCTTACACGGCCTCTCCTGATGATGGGGCGTCCTCGACCCGTAATGTTAAAGTAATCCCCCTGCCGCTAGGCCGGGCGTCGACAACAATTTTATGAAGATACTGCCTCGTCGTCCGACCCCAAGAGAGGCATAGAAAGACCCACTGTAGGAACAGGAGGAGGCTGGATGGTACTACGACCAGCAACATCAACGCACAACGGTGTTGGCTCATCATCTGAATCCAGGAGCGGCATGGACGGAGCAGCTGCTAGAGAGGAATGTGGTGCTGTAGCACCAGATTCGGAGGTGTCGGTACCCGACGGCTCAGCTCTGTCATCGTCCGGATCCAACAGGAGCCTGGGTGGAACCGCTGCAGGAGGATCGGACGGCGGAACAGCGCCAGGTCCATTTTCCTCTTCGTCGTCATCTGAGGACAATATTCGTTAAAGCGAACAGATAGTTCAGTCTTACATTTATCTCAAGCACGCTTCTTACAAACGACTTTCATTTAATTCAAGCTTCCACAGTCAACCGTCTAGTCACTCTCTTTACATACAAATTTCATAAGTCATTTGGTATTACATAGCAATAAGCACGTAACTTAACGCAAAATAGTTAAATGGCCTGTTTAACTATTTTACGCTTCATGTGGCAATATCTAATAAGGGAGAGCAGCTCGATGCTTCACGAGGCATATAACGCGTTGTACCTGCAAAGAGAGACACGACAGCCGCGTCCGTCCGACTAGCGACTGTATGCTACGGATCATAAGTACTCAATACTTATGTCAGCGACTTGACGACCATGCACCAACGCCGGGCGACCTGACGACAAACGCCAGCGCCACGACGACTTGATAACATGCGTCAACGCTAGTTGACTACCAATGTCAACTTTGTGCGACTTGACCGCAGGGTCAACGCTGTTCGACCAATGTAGCAAAATAACACTGCGTTGCTTACTCGCGAAGAATGCAGCGCATGTCTCGGGACACCACTCGCCCCGCCAAGGCACCATGTACTGTGCCGCAGCCTGCGTTGTCTTCCCGTAGCTGCCGCTTAGAAGTTGTAGCTCGTAGCGACCGCAGGGTAGGATGTTGACCACGCGATATGGGCCACGCATCCCTGGATCTAATTTTCCTGTCGACTGTGAAAATTTGATAACAAACACATGGTCGTCTAGGTTGTATTCGCGTGGCGAACGTCGATTTCGGTTGACACGTTCGTCTTGATGGGCCTGATTTTCTTTGAGCAGTTCACGTGCTCGACTCCTAGAGATTTCACGAAAAGCTTGTCGGTTGGGTGAAGAGTTTTCGAGAGCCAAGTCGCGAACTAACGTTCGAATGATAGGTGTAGTCCCATCGGTACCAATTAGGAGGTTAAGAGGTGACATTTGTGTGGTCTTCTGTTTGGTGATGTTCAGGACGAGCTGGAGTCTCCATAACGTTTGAGACCACGACGCACCTCGCTGGTTGGTCTCGATCCTGATCATATTGAGGACCGTGCGTACGTACCTCTCCACCTGGCCGTTCGCATTGTGCATCTCCGGCGTTATGTAGTGAAGATCGCATCCTAAATCATTAATCCACCTAACAAATTCACTGGACTCGAACATGCGTCCTTTGTCCGTGACCATCAATTTCGGAACACCAAAATAAGACACCGCTCGAGTGACAATTTGTTTAAGTTCACTGGCGTCTTGCCGTTGCATGGCATGTAGTAAACAGAACTTCGTAAAAGCGTCAACTATGATGAGCACAAATTTGAAGCCCTCGGACGCTGGTAGTGGCCCGAGCGCATCCACATGTACTGTGCTGAAGGGATCATCGGGCTTCGGCCATGAACTTATCGTTTGTAGGGGAGCTCGTGGGACGCGTTTCTTCGAAATGCACGCTAGGCAGTGAGCCACGTATTTGCTTACAAATTGCCTAAGTCCCGGAAACCAGAAGTGTCGCAGGATGAGGTCCACGGTCTTCTCTGCTCCAATGTGCTCGTGTTCGTCGTGGAACACTCGTAAGAGACTGAGTCGATGGCCTTTAGGGATGTAGCACAAGATACGTGGTGACTCACCAATTGGAGTATACTTGTAGCAGAGGAGATCGTTTTGTACTAGGTATCGGCTGGCGTCTAGTTCACCATCGCGAAGCTTCTGCATGAGGTCTTGGGTTTCGCCATCGGCTGCCTGGGCGATCTGTGCCCAATTCCTTGGTCTGGTGATTTGGTTAACTGTATGGGAGATTGGGTTTCGACTCAGGTAGTCGGCGTGCTGCATCATAACACCTTTCCGGTACTCAATGGTGAAATCATAGTCCTGGAGGTAAATCCACCAACGCGCTACGCGTGGAATGAGGTCCTTTTTACGCTCCGTAGATTTCAGGGCATTACAGTCTGTGACCACTTTAAAGTTCAGTCCTACGAGGTAGTGCCTGAAATGCTGGAGAGCTTTTACAACTGCTAGCGTCTCTAGCTCGTAGGAGTGATACTTATTTTCGGCTCCCTGAGTTACCTTGCTGAAGTATGCAATAGCGTGCTTCTTACCGTCAGAGTGTGTTTGCAGTAGAACGGCCCCGTACCCAGCACTGCTGGCGTCTGTATGTACTTCCGTGGGAAGCTTGGGATTAAAAATAGTCAGGACCGGCTCCCTAGTAAGGTGTGTGATCAAGTCCTGCCTAATAGCCTCGTGCTCAGCATTCCAATGGAATTCAACTGCTTTTTTAGTTAGGTGTGCGATAGGGGCAGTTTTTGTCGCGTAGTCTTTTATATAGCGTCTAAAATACCCGGCGAGGCCAAGAAATTGACGCACCTGTCGTACATTCTCGGGGGGAGACGTGTTCACTAGGGCTTCCACCTTTCGCGGGCTCGGCCTCACCTGACCACCACATACTACTCTCCCTAAGTATTCAACTTCAGTCACGAGGAAAGAACACTTGCGCAAGTTTATGGAAAACCCAGCTTGCGTGAGTGTTTGTAGAACTCTTTTCAACAGTTCGATACCCTCGCTCACGGTGTTACTCAACAGAAGCACGTCGTCTACATACACCAACACGTTGCCCTTGTCGATGAAACTTCGCAACGTATCATTAATGATGCGTTGGTATACGATGGGCGAGTTTGCCAACCCAAATGGCATTTTCACGTATTCGAAGTGCTCCTCTGGGGTGACAAATCCCGTTAAATGTATGCACTCCTCTTTGATAGGGATCTGGTGGAAACCAGTAGCCATGTCGAGACTTGAAAAGTATTTAAAATTTCCTAACCTATCGACATGGTCGTCAATGAGCGGAAGAGGGTATCGATCTTTTACTGTGATTCGATTGAGGGCTCTAAAGTCCACACAGAGTCTATCCGAACCATCACGCTTCTTGACTAGTATGATGGGGCTTGCGTACTCAGACTTAGATCTCCTAATCACGCCTTTGTCTAACAAATCCTTGGTAATGTCGCGAACCTTCAATTTTTCTTGATAAGACAGCTTATACGGCCGATAAACTACCGGCGCGGAGCTAGTTAATTTTATCTCCATCTGACCCGTCTTCACTGTCGAAGAGGCCGTTCCGGAAATTAAAAATTCTTTAAAATCATCAATGACCGCCATTAAAATTTCGCGATCATTACCCTGTAGGGGGGTCTGTACCGACAGACCGTCTTCTTTCACAGTGTTAACGTGTCGGATAGACATATGGTCGGAGTGAGTGATATATTGTCTGTCTTTGGTTCGTACGTACGTCACTCCGTCACGGTTAAGAACGTCGGTGCCGATTATGATAGGCGTATTCATACAAGATGACGGCACTACTACCAAATCGGCTTCGATTGCTATGTCGCTAAACTCTAATGTCACCGTGACGTAGGACTTTGAAATTATTTCCTTATCACTAATGCCCTTAAGTACACAATATCTAGGTTTAGGTTGACACAATAGGTATTTCAGTACATCAGATGAAATGAGAGACACATTGAGGGCACCGCTGTCTATGAGAACGTCGACCGGGACACCATGCATCACAGCTGTAACAACATCATTTTTCGGGTGACGTGTGGACAAGTCGGAACAGAGGTTAACTTTATGCTGGTTACGGGACTCGGAGCGAGCCTTTGCAAAACACTGGTCTTCACTATGACCGACTTTCTTACAAAAAGAACACTGATTGCTAGTATTTGTTACGGGTGTGTTGCTAGTACTTGGAAAAGCCGGGTTAAATGTTCTCGGCTTCTGTGTACAATATTGTTTCGTATGGCCTCTTCTGTTACAAGTAAAACATTTTATATCTGACCTACCGCCTGCTTTTTGTAACGGGCGTCTCCCCAGAGATGACGTAGAAGCACGGGTGTCCGGCTTAGCACGGTTAGGTTTGGTGTAGATGGACAAAAATGATACTAAATTGTCGGAAGTAAGATTCGCGTTCGCCGCAGCGGCGCGAACCTGAGGATTGTCAATACCTCGGATAACAATGAGGGTACGTAGTTCATCGCTTAGGCCTTGTACCACTCTTAAACGTAATAAAGTGCGACGTGCGTATTCTGCGTATGTTTGATATTTATCTGAGGTTTCATTCATAGCGTTAAAAAGTATATTCGCATAATCTAATTTACTAGGGCAGAGTGGTTTAAACTCCCGTTTAAAATTAGACCAAGACCGGTCATTAGTTATCCACTCGCTAAGCCAGATCCTAGCGTCTCCCTTCAAACATGATGCTACCCGAGACAAGCACTCAGGATCGCTCCAGCCGTTCGCTTCCTTGGCGCGATCTACTTCCTCGCACCATACGTTGATATTATGTAAAGTGGGGTCAAAGTTGGAAACGAAATAGTGTTGGGACCTAATGGGTTGCATGGTTTTTATTGCCTCTAACAATGCCTGCGCGATCTTGGACGTCTCAGGATGTTGAGTAGAACGCTTTAGTTTACACGATCGGGAACTGTCATGACTCACCACACTAGCAGACCTACAACGGGACGACCTATCTCGAGATTCCGTTTTACGTGAACGAAGTACTTCACGACGTGTGTTACTCATAGACTGGCGCGGCGGCGTCTTACTTCGCAATTCGCGGTCGCGGCGGGACCTATCACGCGACGAATTACGCGAACGACGTTGATGCCGACGTGTGTTGCTACGGATCACACTACGAGAGGATCGTTTACATGTTTTGCGCGAATGAGACCGTGATTGGTCGCGACGAGAGCGTTTCATGCAACGTTTTGAACCGCCGCAACGAGAAACGGAACAAGAACGAGTCCGTACACGGGCACGCGAGCCACTTTGTGAACGATTACGTTTACGACCACGGGAACCACTTCTCTCCATCTTAGTATAGCACCTTCGTACTCGATGGAGCACAGAAAGAACGATACAAATAGCCAAAAGCGTAATCACAATAAAGCAATTTCAAATATTTGAAAATTAACGGAAAAAAATTAGGTAAGCGTAATGGCAAATCAAAGATACTTCGTGTCCTACTTCATAAGGACGAATTTCGTATCCCACTTCTGAAATTAGCTAGAAAAAGGATTCGAAATTAAAAAAAAGAGAACATCTAA